AATGGCTTGCGATTTTCATTAACAGCTTTCTCTCTTGCAACCTTCCGATCTTTCATGTATTGAGCCACGTTAAAGCGCGCGTTCTTTTTCGGCGGCATCCTAAATATTTACACATTAAAAACTAAGAAAAGAATGCAAAATTAGGAAAACAAAAATCATAGAGTTCTAGTCAAGGCTTTGAAGTTTCTCTTCGTAACAAAATTTCTCGGATAAGAAGAAATATTTAAGACTATGCGGGCCAAAAATACTATAGAACGACAAACGAACCTTGCCTTCCCTTTTACTATTTCCTCCTCTGTCTCTTTTTAAGCGAACATCGAAGAAAGTATTGCATGTTTGGAATCAAAATGACGGGAAAACGTTTTACTTTCAGAACATTTGAGTTTTGGCGCCTTTGGACTAACCCAAGGACCGCTCGGAGGCATTTTTCGACAGGCATTTAACTTAGTTCCAGTCTTCTCTAAGAAACACACGGTCACAGACGCCATATCTGTGGACAATGATTGTTCCGCTTTATAGTGCGCGCCAGCCCGGCTCTAGATGATGGGATTTACGGCATGAAACAAAATCTGCAATCCCAATTTACGAAAAAGTAAAGGCTCCATTCAGCGGACAAAGACTGGCAGAATCCATGGTCCCTTTCCCTAAACGAGTCCAGATGTATTCCAGCTATGGATTTTCAGTTTGGCCGAAATCTGCTGAGGTCAGCTAACACTAAAGAAAAACAGGAATAGTTCCAGATTCTGCAATCGAAAATGAAGGGAGACTTACATTAGAAAACAGCCTCCTCCGGTCCTTAATCCAAAGTTTTGTTGATAAATATATCTTGTATATTATTCACGCCGTTTGAAGCTTACGATGGGTTTATTTTTAATGGTGAAAGGAGAGATGCACCGATTCCGCCATCCGCTATCACAGAAAGCATTCATACTCCAAGTACTTTTGTTCTTTTCTCATGGTAGGTTCCGTATTTTCGTTATTATGGAACACAGCTGGCGCAGTGTCGTATCTGCACACAGAAGGGATGGCTTCTGAAGAGAAGTTTTGGGCAACGCACTTCTAAAAAACATCACCATGCACTAACGAACGGTAATCGTTTTAAAATGTAGTGAAAAATTATGAACGCAAATTTCACGATAAGAGTGAGCCATGTTTACCTCAAACAAGTTGGGAAGGTATAAATTTAGTCGCGTTCGTACTTTGCCAGTTGATGATTTCATGCGTAACTAGCTTGCTTTGCCGGCTGTGACTCTGTTTAATTGAATTCTGCGGGAAACGAAAATTCAAAAATTCAAAACATTTTAAAGCGCCCGTGAATCAAAACTAGTCAGGCGAAAAGAATTAAATCAGTCAGAGAATGACATAATTTTCTATCTCATCAGCCCATTGGATGTTTATAGTGCCAACTGGACGACGAGCTATGCAAAGATTAACAGTCACTAGTTAAAAGCCGCGATGAAAATCAGTTGATTACCACCGATAGTGATTGTCGATCGTTTAAAAAGCCTGTTTGATAAGCTTAAGCCCCAAAACAAACAGAGAATCTCTCATGGGTGATTCCCCGTTTGTTTACAGATATTACTTCATCATAATTAAAGAGTCTCGATGACGTAATGATGTCTATAAATATGCTCTCACCTCCATACTAACGTGAACAAAACCATTGCGAAGCGATCAAGATTATTGAACACACCTTTGGCTATGGCTGTTACCGCTCTTAGGTTACAATCTTTCAATCTTGTTTGCAAGTGTTTATATCTTTTTGGAGTATGTACCATGTTTGCTTCATTTCCTTTGTTTGGGGGTAAGTGAATTAGTGATTTGTTACATTTTTAATATGATCTTGACCGCAGACACACTGGCCGTCATGAATTTATTACGATTAAATCAGCAATTCACAAGTACAAAATGTTTCAGAGTTAGGAAAGGGTCGTTTACACTGTTATATTGCCAGATTATAGCAATTGCAGATGTTTACGGTCTCCAAAGAGTTTAAACATTTTTCGTATTTGTCTTACTAAAGATACGTAACTGTATTCATTTTTTTATCACTTTGTGATATTCCAAACCACCAGATTTTCCTCAATAGAATTGTACCAAACACGTAAAATCCTGAAATTAAGTTGGTCCTGTGCAATAGGGTAATGATTTTATTTCCAACGTGAAACTTTCTCATACTATGGGCGTCCGAGCGTAGAGTCATGCAAACCGTATATCTTGCCAGAGAACGATATCCCGGGTAAGAAATGAACATGTAAAATTAACTGAAAGCGCTAAACAAAACCTGTGTATTGCCTTATTTTTTTAAATACGTATTTGATACCACTCAATCAGTGATATCCACTTATCATCATTTTTCATGTTTTGTTTAGTATTGAAACTGAAGGGAAAAAACCCTTTTGATGATTAGGCACTGATAACATCAACTTTTTCCAGAGGGGTAGTGACATTTGATCAGCATAACAAGAACATGAAAGCTTCCATTTTGGGTCTCTCTCTTCCAAATGGATGCTTGTCTCAAATGCTTTTGATATCTAAATATTAGAAGTAAAAAATTGAAGAGTATTTGATATTCTCAGCTACAATCCAAAGACACACGTTTAGTCTACAAACCATGGATTAATTATTCAGTGAACTATACGAAAGCGCTCCAGGGGAAATTTTAGAGCCTCTTGTGTTTGATGACCCTACCCCTGTCTGGAAGCTTTGGTAAATAACCAGCCTCTCTTTGCGGGGAGAGCATGACAAAATGGAACTTATTATCTCTAAAATGTTTAATTTCGTTCAACCGAAGTCGGGCTTAAGTTTAAGTCGTATGAACTACTATAACTGTCACTCATAATTAACATTGCCTTTCATGTTTTTTCTCTCCAGGTGCTGTGGGTACCGACATTCGAACAGAATGCACGAACGACAAGATCCGGCTTAGCCACCCTCAACTTGCTGATCCTATCCAGGAAAAGTCTTACAAAGAGCTGATCTGGACTGTTGACGATCCAGAAAAGCAAGGCCAGGACAAACAAAAGCTCGTGTATTGTAACGAGTATTTTAAATGCCACAAGTATAACATCACTGGGAGATATCAGCAGAGAATTGAGACAACAGCTGCCGTGCGGGGTGTGCTTTACATCAAACAGAAGAAGTTCAACGATAAACTCACGTACACATGCCGCGTGATACATAAAGGAAACAAGCCTCCGTGTGATCACACGATCACAGTCAGTTCTTCAGCAAATTGTGAGTGAATAAAGCTTAACATGTGAATTGGCTCTGTTTTCCCTTTCTCAAGGCTTGCAGTTGCTTTAGCGAGTTGGGGGGAGGGGGGTGGGGTGGTTTGCGCACCTTACGGAAAGTGGCTTGTACCTCTGCTCTTCATTTGTGAATCAGCAGGCACGTGTTACGGCAAAAGGAGTGTATATTGTTTAAAACTCATGCCATGTAGATTCTACGAATGTGCGCTTTTCCGCACATCTAAATTGAAGGACACGTTATTGTGCACTGTTGACTTACCGAAAAAAAGTGGGGGAAGTCGCAGGCTCACCAGAACCGCCTGCCACACAGACATAACGTCTTCGAAAAGCTTTGTTTTTTTGTGAATAAATTAACTACAATAGTTTAAAACATGGCTTAACTGCAGAGATTGATTTACTTCGAAATCTCTATTCAAATTTTTTCACCACAGTGCTTACGGGAAGCTACCTTAGTCCTTACATTACCCCTTGAACTCCCAAGATCTGACAGTCAATTCTCCCCACCAGCTGCTTCATATTTTCCTTTAAATTAGTTTTCCTGGATAATGTATGGATATGGCAGGGAGAAGTTAGATGTTAATCACTGGGAGTTGAAGGGTTTACAGGCAAGATTTACAGTGCTATAGTCTAATCTGTCTGCCTTTTTCCTCTCAAGGCTTGTCCACGACTGTTGGTAAAAGCATCGACCTGAGCCGTCCGATTCATGGAAAATTTTCAAAGAATGACATGGAAGACATATCATGGTACAGGATTCTTCAGGATGGTGGAAAGGAAAAAATTGCGCACTGCAGTCCATCCAGGGTTTTGTGCACATTGATCAATTGCACAAGATCTTGTCCAGAATATTTAACAAGGTTAAAGACAGACGGACTGTCAGTCATCCTGACAAAAGTCACGCCCAATGACCGCGGATTAAGATTTCAATGTGAGTTACATCCCATCGGAATCCAACGGGCACCTCGAGTTTACATCATTCGGGTGAGAGATGTCGCCTTACCCCGACCAGGTTAGTTCATAGACTCTTAATTTCAAGATAAGGGCAGAGGGGCGTCACACGAATGTCAGCCTGGTATTTGGAGCATACCAGGTTGTTTTCTGATTACGATTTATCATTTTTTTTCACCCCGAGACCCCCCTCCTTCTAAACTGCTCCCTTAGATTTTGTTTACGTTACCTGGTGAGCAGCCCCTTCATTGCGTTAACGGTGTGTTAAATTGTCAGGGTGACCTATTAGGCCACTTTAAAGGAAGTGATTAGAATTTTTTGAGTCTAAATGAAATGCAGCTGTCCCTTTTCCCCTCTAATGTAATTCACAAACGCGCAGATAGTTGAGGTTAGCCTAGAAGAAAAATTTTCCGGCACTCATCGAGCTTTAACGGTTCCCTTTGTTTAGCTGTCGACGGATCAACTTCACCCTCCATTAAGACAGCACAGCCCACCCGAGCCAACGCTCGATCTTACACTATGAACAACAGTTGGCAAGCACCTGTATTAAACGTCTCTGTTATTTGGGTGATCATACAGTTCATGATCTCAGTTTGCTCCATGCCATAGAAACAGCAGGAGAAACCACAAGCTTGTTCAGTGGAAACTTTACTACAGATCCTTGACTGCGAATAATAGCATCCAAATATCTTGGGCTATCATTGCATAAGACAAAAGATTGTCATTAAATCTCTTGCCTGAGAAAGGAACATTCACCCACAAAGAGAAGACTGTGCGAAAACACAAAATGTATATTTATTAAGAGAAATATGCTCAAAGTTTTAAATATAACGCTTCCACTTTCTAAAATATTGCGCGATAATATATAAAATAAGCCTCTAAAAATTCCAAAATTATTTTTTAAAATGTTCAATTGTTCGCTATTTAATTGGTGTAAGCCTTCTTAATTCAATGAAACACAAGCATTATGGCAAATTATTTACGTATCTGTAAAGCTTGCTCAAGCTGACTAATCGTCAGCTTTGATAAACAGCAATTCGTATTTGTGACTGTTGAATTGTCTAAGTCTCTGTAAAAATCTCACCTGTAGAATCATGATCGAAATGGATAAATGATTCTTAGCTTACAGCACTGATGTTCGAATCAGGACAATGAAAGACCACACCAATTGTATAAAGTTCTGTCACCTTGATAATACGCTCCCAATCTACAAGAGGATGGTTCGTCATCTCTTTTTCATAACGGATATCTAAATGTGAAGTTTTAATCTTTACTTTAAACTCACTTTAGACAAACGTTTGTAAAAACAGCTGTTAATATAAGGTTGAATTGATACTGTGAGGTTACCTTGCAAATAAAATGTCCAAGATTACATATAGCAGTGGCCAACTGTTTCCCAATGTTTGTTTGTTTGTTTGTCTTTTCGCCTTGTTTATGAATGCACCAACTTCATTAGGCCAAAACTGCCCAAAGAAAAATTTTTTGATCCCTTAGCTAAACATTGGCTCTGGCAAGTTCGGACGACGTGTTTCGCCCCACCAGACTTTTTCAGAGATTACCAAGCTTCAAAAGGTTTATCGTCTTGTTTTCGTTAATCAAGTTTTTGGACACACAAACTTCCATTAACTACCAGCCGGAGAACTGATTACATTTTTTACAGATATTCCATTACGGCAATTTTATTAGAAATTATCTACACCTCTTACCAGAAATTTCAGTCAAAAGACAAAGTCCAATCTTTCTCGTTTTTCAGTTGCATTAAGGAGTTGGAAAATGTTTTCCTTACTGATTTTCAAGAGCAAATGGACATTTGGCGGTGTTAATATTCGACATGGTTTGTTTTCTGAGACAAAAAAGGGTTTGTGATCTGACACCAAGCTACAATATAATCTCTTAGATCTTCCCAATTGTCCCAGTAATTCTCAAGCGATTGGGACGTTAGAGCGCTTTTCGAATGAGCGTCGTAAAACTCAAACCAAGGTTACCTACAGCGCGGGAAAACGCAGGTGACCAAGTGCTTTTAATCTTGCATTTGATTGGTTGAGAGAGGTGCGAGTTTTCTGGACCAATCACAGCGTAGTAAAGCAAAGCCAATTTGTTTTCGAATTACTTTGATATTCAAATGAAAACTGTTCGAATGTAGGAAGCACGGCCAAACGAGTTTATGTGTAAGACCGGTTTCCATGCCATAGCTCAGATCGTTCGTAATATCTCCTGAACTAACGTGATCAAGAGGATGATATCGAAACCAACTTTTGAGGAATTGGACTCTTTAAACGATAAAACAGAGAAGTAATGAAGCCACACAACTTTGATTTACCGTTGTGAAAGTTTAAAGCTGATGAAGTTAGTCTTGTGTTGTTATATCAAAGTTTAAAAATATATTAAAACTAAAAGTTATGAAATTAAACAACGAAATTAAAATATTCTCCATCTGGTTGTAAAAAAAAAATGCCAGCCTAGCTTGGATCGTTCAATAATTTGTACCCTTTTGAATGTAGATATTCGTCATCTGGTATGGATCCCTCTGTTTTAGTTCAAATATTCCATTCTTGTGTAATGCTGTAAAGTGACGGAAACAAAGTCAACAAAGGAAAGTAACGAATCAGTCAGCTTGCTAGTTATGAAGTAACAGTGCTTCCCAGGCTAATGTCCAATATGCTTGCAGCCAAGCGCCGTTGCAACAGTTCAAAAATAGCTTCCATTTGGTGTGAATGTATGCTCAGATATTCGTCTTGGGACACAAATTGTTCTGAGAAGCGAACAACTTTTCAAGAATGAAGAGGAAAACTAGGAGTTTCGAGAAACAGACACCATCCAATGAAAAACACTTTACGATAATGAAGGCTAATGTATTAGAACAGCTTTTATATATTTTTTGCAAAGCGTGGAATAACACGTTTACCAATTCACATAGAGAATTTTATCGCATCAGACACAAGTGTAAATGTTAGGATATCTGATGAAGAATATCACCAGACCTACCCACTTTGAACTTAAACATATTCGGTCACGTGATGCGTTTACACCAATTGACCGTCAACTAACGATTGAACTCTAGGGAGACCTCTTAAGAAAATAAAGCTGTAAGCTTTGATTCCGATGATTATTTACCAACCGAGTAGATGGTAGAAAACTTTAGCTGCACTTTTTCGCTCTGTTAATTGTGGAGGACATAAATTCCTGAACACGACTTGCCCGTCGCTGAGTCGCATGGCTCCGTTTACCATCCTACAAGAAGGGAAAAAAAATGATCATACAACGTACTAGAAAAAGACTAAATACATCTGCAACAGTGAACAATTTTTTCGAATAACAGGCAACAAACTGGTCGATTTTGTTGAGTTTTGACTCTATTCTTTCCCCCTTCGAATGTAGGAAAATGGTAAAACTAAAAAGGTGTGACGAATCAAGTCTGTTAACATTTCACCGTCACTACTGACAGACCCGACGACTAACAATCGGGCAGCCGTCGGCATATCACGAGATCATGTCGGATGGTACCATTCTCAATGGCTTTTACCTTCACGCGGAAAGGGAGAAGCGAAGCATATAATCAATCTGGTGGAAAAGCAGTTTTTTCGACTCTTGCAGATTAAAAAAAAAACATTTCAATGTGTTTTCGTAAATTTTGCATAACAACAGTTTTTCCTTAAAAGTTACCTTATACACTTTTTCGTGGGACACTGGCGCGCGGCTGACCAAAATTGATTGGAATGCGCATGCCTTTCGTTCGATCACTATGTTGAATAAGCATTGCTGCTCCATACTTTCAATATATTCAACATACCTCCAAGTATCACTCGTCTGCTCCTCGAGGGACTGCGTGACTTCAGATTGCTCCATAAGAGTTGGAAGGTCTCCTGCTCGTTAATATCAATTGAAAGCACTACGATGAAATTATTTTCTAAATAATGAAAATAATTGAACAAAGCATATTCTTGTTCTTACCGATATCTTCCATGTATTCATCGAAATCGGACGGTTCGTGAATAGGGGACAACAGTCCAGTCATGGAAGAGCGAAGTAAAGAAGACGGTCTGAAAACACGGAAAGTGAATAAAAATGGCAATAGTAGTAGGTAATTTTCTTGCTGAAAAGTAACATTTTCCGTCATTTAAAGATGAAGCCTACTGGATTGTACCTTCGCAGTGGTGCAGTTGGTTCCATTTCTGGTGGCTCCATGTCTTGATCGGCACTAATTGGAAATTCCCCGACTTTTACTTTGCCATCTAAAGCATTTAAAAAAAAATTAAAAGTTAAAACTTCCGTCTATTTGAACGCTTCAGAAAGCGCGTAATCGACATGTCACTTTATGCAAAGGACAGGGAGATAACCATAGGAAGTCTCTGACAAATTTTGTTTTGTGATATTTTACCTGTATCTGGGGTAAACCCAATGGTACTAGCTTCAGAGCGCTCAAGCAATCCAGATTGTTCAGCATTGGGATCATCTCTGAGGATCTCTTTTTCAGCTGGGGTTTCCATATCTCTTGGAACCTAACACAAAAAAATCGATACACTTTGAGTGCAACGTGAAGAAACAAAACCTGTAGCTTCATGAAGAACTCTGCATTTGCCCAATAAAGCCTTACAATTCCTTGGAGGGATAATATTCTTAAATAAATGAAACGCTTGAAATTAAAGCGCAAAGTGAAGGAGGACAAAATGAAAAAAAAAAAAACGAAAACAAAAGAGAAAAAAAAAAGAAAGAAGGACTGAAGATTTTCGCGTTCATAACAAACTCTGCTATTTCCTAAGAAAGCCCTTCGACTGCACAAAGTGATAAAAATTGTTAAAAATTGCATTGTATCTTTTTAGCAAATACCAAACGAGTAAGGGATGCAAGTAAGGGATAATTTTTGACGCTCGTTATCAGCTTTATCAGTTCAGACACCTACCTGAAAGCTTTCAGCAACGGGAGGTAGCAGGCTGTCCCACTCTGAGACATCAGACTCGCTTGAACGATACTCTTCAGGGTTAGTGGCAGCATTCCTTCTCCATAAGTCAATAAAGGGTTCACCCATCATGGCTGAAAGTTAAAACCGAAAAACAAGCACATTTCCCCGGCTTCTATTGCACTAAGCGAGTAAGAGCATTGCCACGCACCCACGCGGAATATTAATCCATCGAATTCGGACTTAACTATCCGTAATCAAGCGCGGACATCACACCGCTGCGAGATAAATAAGCACGGCAAAAAGGATTGAAAACTTAACCAACGTTACTGTTGCTGCTTATTCCAGTCTATGGTGTGAAGCGAAAAAGGTGTGAAGTGAAAAAAGGTATGAGGCGACCAGGAGGGCACTGTGAACTCCCTCACCTAACATGGTGCCGTTTAATCACATATTGCTTAGGGTTAACTCCTTATTCTCCCTCCCTCCCCTCCCTCCTCTTCCTCCCCTTCCACCCAGGAATTCCTACCTACTGGCACTGTGTCAAGTCACAAGGCCTGGCTCACAATTAAAACAAAATGTTCACTTTAAGAAACTATCAATCGTTGCCTTTCGTAGGATAAGTGTTTCTACGAATACACGTCAAACATTTATCATGCCCTTAGCACAGTTAGAGAGAAAGGAGAAGAGAGGTGTAGTTGTATTTCGAATACAACTATCAGAGGGTGTCACTTGGTTATGACAGTGTGGCTAAGAGTTGAAATTTTGGCAATTTTACGGCAAACGGTGTAACCAAAATGACACACAAGATAGGAAATTTTTACATTTCATTTTTTTTTTATTACTCACAGTTACAATTCGTCAATTTTCACGCCTAACACCTAAATTTTTTGTCCGTTTTACGGCTAAAGTTTAAGCCTATTAAAAACCTGTTGTCGCTATTCGAGTTTTAGCTCATCAACTGACCTTCTGTCGCCGGTGCCATGAATAGATCCTTTGCAGAAACCAATGGATGCTCCACAAGTTCCTGAAATAAGATAAGTGAATAGCTCAAATGATTAAAACTGTATATTCTGGAAGGTTGTAATACCCTGTCCCTCCCGGTGGGGCTGTTGGAACTATTCAGATCTTTAACACAACAGCAGTAACATGCTATGTCAATACCCTTAGCTACGCCCCTGATTTATTGAGTCAGAAAGGACACAGGATTTAATTGCTGCAAGTGTTAAGCGAAATAAAAACGTTTGCATTACCCCGGCTGGCGGGCACAAAATTCACGTGAAGACGGTGAGGAGGAAGGCAAAGGGGCAAAGGACAAAGGAGGGAGGGGGGGGGGAGGGGAAAGGAGGCAATTTGAGCTCTTTAAAGTTTTAGCCTTAAATTTCAGGGGCTGAAAAAATTTCGAAAGCTCTGCCCCCCTTCAGGCCACTGGTATTAGGAACTAGACTATTGGTGATTGTAGAAAAATTGTAAAAGGATGGGCTACCACGCCAGGACTAGTAAAGAGTTCTTGTTTAAAAAAGGGTATTAAGTAACCAAAACTTTGCCGATAGACAATGAACTAATTGTTCATTAAACCAATAAAGATTATTCCTTACTCGTGCACACAAGGTTTCTCTTCCACCTGTTTCCACATTATGCCTGATCACATCTTGGTCAATCTGTGTGCTTCGGTCCACAACCAGTCGCCTTCTCTTCCTGGGTGGGGAGGGAGTCGCAGTCTCGATGGGGACCCCAGGGGTAACTAATCCCCTGGCAACAAGATCCTGATAAGAAATTCCTCGTGGTTAGAATTGAGATCTTGTTTCTCAGACATAGTCTAAGTTTCCATTAATAACACACATAATTTTTAAGGTTCTGTGTTACTGCAGTGTTTACACTGAGAACTTATTCAACAGAACCAGGTAGGTCGAGGTCATACATATTCGAAGCCCTCCGATTTTTTCTGCTTCAACTAAAATTAACTAGTTCTCACAATCTAAGGAAAACAAGTAAGAACTCTTTCCAACAAAACTCATTGAAAGACTGTGACTGTCATGATCTCTCATGTCTGTCTAACAAGTTTGATGAAAAAAATTACATTTTTCGCCATAAGTTTCCAACTAGAGAGTTAGCGAACCAGATTTTATGACAATGGGATCTTCAGTACATCGAAGATTTGATGTGTTTTTTTTTCGTCCACTGTTGAGAGAAATGGAAACCCATGATATTCCAGTAGAAAACTTCTACATCATTGCAATGACGCGTACCTTGTCAGGCTCTAGTATAGTCGTGGGAGCCAGCTCCAGCCCAGCTTCAGTTGCTGTTGAGAAAAAAGGAATTCTCATGAGGCTCTTGTCGTGAGGTGAGATAACTTTTGCAATGTGTTAATTACCTTGGTGTGATCAACAACACATAATCAGCTGCTTATAATTGAAACCATCACAGTCATCTCATTCCCTCCTTCACCCGTTTACTCCCAGAAGTGATTAACACTTAACTTCTCCCTAAAATACCCATACATTATCCAGCAAAAAGGTATGAAGAATACTCAAACTTATCTGCTAGGAATTTATCTTGATTTAACACCAATTTTTCGTAACTGATTTACAACGAAATGTGCAGCAGCTAGAGTGGAGAATTAACGATCAGCGCCCAGTTGTTCGAAGGCCGATTAGCGCTAACCCGGGGTTAAGTTTTAATCTGGGTTACTTTATTCCCTTCTTCAATTCTTTTTGGAACATTCAGGCATCAAATTGTAGGCAAAAATAAATATACTGAATATGCCTTTAAAGCTCTCAAATCTGAGGTCAGATTTCACGCTAACCCTGGGTCATCTTAACCTAGCTTTGAACAACTTGGCACAGATCTTAAGAGTTAAAGGATTAACAGCCTCTTCTGATGTTTTGCCGCAAACCAACAAACCAAGTTCGTTTACTTGAACTTGAGACTCATTGGTAAACTTTCGAGGAAAACAAAAAGTAACACAAAGGAAAATTCTCTTCAAAGTTTTTTCAAAATTCCAAGGCTCATTTGAAAACCAATTTCGTAAGGTCTCAAAAAATAAACAGAAATGAAACGGAAAAACAAGTTAAGCACCAAAGAATATTTTTTCCTGGAATTTACAGTCTACTTATAAGAACACTGTTCTTGGAAAATGACACTAAGAGCCTTCACTGCTGGAAAGGTCTAACATCGTTCTGGACGCTTTCCAAATCGATTAACTATGTCAATGAACACTACTAAAGCAGTTGTGAAAAAAAGCCTGGAAAAAAAAATCAGGCCCGTACAGGAATTGAACCCATGACCTCTTCGATATCAGTACAGTGTTCTACCAACTAAGCTAATAAGCCAACAGGGAGCTAGTTTTTATGTTGGTTCGTAATAAACCCATGAAGTGATGAATCAATGACTGTGAATATATATGAAAACCATTATTGTGAACCCACACCGGCCTGAATTTTTTCAGACCTATATTTTATTTTAAGTAGTGTTCATCACTGTGAACATCGCTTTCCTATTCATTTCTTAAACCGCAGCTCACATATATGATTTTAATAATATATAGATTTAGGCAAGCCTAAAAGCAGAGCTCGCTTTTTTTTCCCCGCACGTCTCTTCAAAACTAAAGCTCCTACTATGGATAAAGTGCGTGGTAATATTAATTCATTCGCAACTTCTCCGTGTCCATGTAGAGGACTGATCATAAGATAGTGCCCGTGGTACAGTTGGCCGCGCATGCTAAAAGTAGCACCTTGTACAGTCGGTCGTACGGTCGTACATCCAAATTTTTTCGGCTTGATGGGTTACTACTATTTTGTATAATTATGGGGCTACGCTCTGCGAGCTCCGCTATGATCGCAGTCATTAATGTCAATTTTGACTTAGTATCTCAATATTCACAATTGAGCCTCAGCTTCTTGTCTATTCCAGAAAACCATTTTGTTGATGAAAAGCACTATACTTACCTTCAAGTCTTGGTACTAATTTTCCTGTCTCTTGATTAACAATAAGCACCTCGGTTGCAGACGGTTCATCATCTAACAGATCCTCTGTAAGGGCAGGGGAGTGGGGAGGGGAGTGGGGAGGGGAGCGGGGAGGGGGTGTTGTAGATCTGATGGAAGAGAAAACAAGGAGTTAAACACTTACCAGTAACAAGGTTAAATAATTAATGAATAATATTTTGTGGTCGCATATTGTTGTTCAAACTCTTCTCGAATGAAGCGTTCTAAGGCCACTTGAAAACCCAAACTTTACTCGATCAACGTGGAATGTTTCTTTAAATTCGTTTGTAAACTGACGTCAGGGTCACCAAAGAAAGAGAGTTTTCCGTATAAAGCTATACTGTCTCTCCCCTCAGCGCTGGTGGGCTGCACTTTTTTACCCTGGAAAGTTCCCTGACAAGTCACCCATGCCCACGTCTATTTCTATATAGAAAAAAAGTACCGTACCACAGTCTTTTCAAAGGCTTAGGTGCGGTCTCTCGATTTGGAGTCTTGTGCAGTAACCATAAGAGTACCTGGTTCCCCGTGGGTACTATAAAAGACCAGTTGCTATTCACCTTTGGACTGTAAGAGACTCTTTATCACGGTTTCAACATTTCATCCTCTTAGGAGGAGTCTGCCGTTTAAACTCCATTATGATTAAATTGGCAAATAAAGGAAGAAAATCAGATAAAACAACCACGACATAGGAAAAGATGCATGGAGAAACTACCCACTGTTGGTCACTTACTTCTCCCTTGGTTGCTGATCTTTCGACTGTTCATCTTTCGGCTGCAGGGAACGCTCTTTTCTTTCGCTCTTCTTTTCACGTTCTTTAGGAGTTTGCTTCGACAGGGGTGCCTCCGAAGTGTAAATGTCTGGCAAAGATGCTTCTCCTGTTATGTCGATTTCGTCTGGAATCTGTTTCAATGAAATGTAGGAAAACTTTGTGCCATACACTGTAGATAGGATAAAGTTGCACGTATACTCGAGCTAGCTGGCGTTACAGGTGCATGGCCTACATGAGGGTGTCACACCCAGCGATTAAGTCTTAGCCCAAAGCAAGTGGCCCACTGTTAAAGGTTTATACGAATATAGATTACTTATGTTAGCACACGACTGTTTTTATAACTTCTTCCCTGTTCCTATTATGAAGCTGCTAACTTATTCTCAATTTGATTGACGTTTATAAGGGATTTCGTTTATTTATACATAACTAAGCAAACCTGTATGCAGCACGTGTTTTATCGTCCCATATATGGCACTGCTCCACGTACTTACAACGGAACGTTGTGTGAATGTTAACTTTTAAATACATAACCACATCAGCTCCGCTGTAATTTTTTAAAATTTCTTCAATCGTGTTTAAATAAATGTTGTTGTTGTTGTTGTTGTTGTTTTGTCAATGGGGTGATGGCTTTCCTGGCCAACTGTTAAAATTTTGCCCATTTTACAAAAAAACGTTTACTTATTTCCGTAATGGTTAAAAGAAAAATATTTACGGTTAACTTATTATATGACTCATGATTAGAATTTGACAATTATCACGCCGAAAGGTTAACTTCTTTTGCCGTTTTTTGGCTAACAATTAACTCCATCAAGACCACACTGTATGACTGTGTGGAACTTGTAATTTTTTCTTATATCTAACTCTGAATATTATGTTTGAGAAAGCTAGACATACCATCCGACCGATAAACCACAATTCAGACAATTTTTGTCTTTGAAAGGTAAGCAAAATAAAATAATTTATTCAAAAGCCTGAAGAATAATATACTTACTTTAATCGGTTCGTCTATCCGCATCCGAATATGGTCAACCTCCGCTATTTTAATGTTGCCTTCCCTGGCTTCAATCGGGCTTCGTTCATTATCTGATCCCGATGGAGGCCTCCACTCTGGGTGCCACACAGGGCTTCCGTATTGCATCGGAGTTCCGGGTATACTAGGAGGACTGAAGCGTCCCACTGGTAAGGGAGGTGATACTGAAGGCATTAGATGTCCGTCTCCATTTACAACAAAGTAACCTTCCTGTGAAAAGCACATTTACAATAGAACATGGCACAAATGACTAGATTACACTTATAACCGCTTGGGTTTAAGAGCGGATTTGTCCTCGAAAAATGCGTCAATTAATCAGGCAAGTTTTTGTGTGCCACGTTGGGAATTAACTTTGTGATTTGTAATGTACAAATATAGACTCTGCAAGGAGGCTCAGTTTGCCTTTAATAAGAAACAAGTTTGAAGCAACTCTAGAAATTCTTTCCGATTTCTGTTATATTCATGATGTTGGTTATACACTAAGATCGGTATGCATATTCTCCAAAATGCTCTCTTTACAATCCCTGAGGTGCTGACAAGAAGAATTTGTATAACAAAAAACATAATCATGAGCTTTTTTAGCTGATGATCATTTCATTTAATCTCCTGACCTGAATGTTTGAGTCAGGGATGATGATTTAGGGAGGAATTACATGCCAGTCACTCTGAGGGCTTACAGAGTCAAGTAGTGCTTACCAATCCTATCAGTGCTACAGAATGTACGTCAAGATCCACGCGGAATGATTCACTTGTGAAATCCAAATCATCTGTGATAACCTCCTCCCTGGTGATAGATCATACATATAGCATGTTTTTTTTTCCATTAATTTTGGAGAGGATTTTATAACATATTAACTTCTGCTTCAACCCTAATCTAGTGTCACTTAATTGTTGCAAATGAGACCAGTTAAAATTGCAATAACAGTACTGGAACTGTTAGAACATATTTTAGAGAAATCAGCAATATAGTTAGAGACAACAAGAAAACCAGGTAAGGAATTTGATGTTCAGTTTCATTTTTCACATCTTTCCTCTCCTAAAAAGCTTCACTTAATATTTATAGGGCACAATTGAGAGTATTTGGGGTGTAATGCAACATGTATAATTTTAACTGAAATAAATCTCATATGACCTGCAAATGAAATTCCAATCAAGCAATAAGTTTGAAACAATTCAGGCTTTGACAGGATTCAAACCCTTTCCTTTCAGATACTAGCTGGGCACTACTACTGTCTGAGAAAGTAAGAGTACAAACAAGATAGAAGCTTTGTTATCGAGTTTTGTATGTCTTCGATTTGCATCAGCTTTCATCGAGAGCATTAAAGTCTCTTATTATAATGAGCAATTTATGCGAAAAAAAAAAATTAGTTGTTACACAGGTCTTTTGAAGACTATCTTAAGTGAATTTATCATCTCTGTTTTTTTCCTGCTTAGAGTTTTAGAACTATACCAGAAGCTTTAAAAATCATCGTATTACCAGCACCTTCCTAAAACCTGCACCAATGACTACTTGTGGTAAATTAACAGATTACCCATGGGTGATCAGCCAGAAAATACGGTAGTACCGTGAATAAATTTCAAATTTTGCTGAGTTTGCTAAGTAGTTCATCTGTTACCTTAACATTGGATTCATCATATCAATTTCACTGGTTCTCAAAACCAAGGCATTCCTTAACGTCTTCCACATCTGTGCCACTTCAGCTGAAAAAATAATAATCACACGAGATTATCCTGAATCATGAAAAGTTCCCAAAAGTGTTCTGATGAAATTTGTCCTTCATATACCCTCTCATTTGAGATGTTTGATGCACTTATAATTTAATTTTCTCTTGGAGCCATTAATTTTATTTTATTAAGATTGTGTAGTATCAGAAAATATCAATATCAATCCTAAAGACCATGATCATAGCAAGTCAGGTGGCTGTGGGGTAAGGTGGGGTGGGTTGGGGTGGGGTTTCAAGTGTTACCAGTTTAAAAGGAATATAAGCATAACATAAGGAGACCTTGGGAATCACCTAGCATTTCATATAGCACCTGAAATTTCATGATTGGTTGATCTTCCAGGGTATAATAGCTTCCTTGGGATATAAGCATGCTTTCCAAAGAAAATCAGCTGGTAGGGAAATATGAAATGTTTAATTAAAAAAAGGTCAGTTGGAATAAACATTTTTGCATGAGAATAGTTTTCACAAAATTTCTCAAAGTTGATGATATAAAACAAGAAAAAAAATTCACACTGTTGGTAAGTTTTGAGCTCGGTAAAGAAATAGAGCATCTTTTCTAGTTTCAAGTCTTCTGACGTTGATCTCTATTTCATGGGAATCCTTTTCTTTGTTTAAATAAACTGTAATGGCTTTATATAGTAGTTACCAATCACATAAGCATAATCTTTGACTGTGATCAAGTTTTTTTGAGGTGGGGAGAATGGTGTAGGGTTGGAATTGAATGGTTGAGAGGTGAAAATGAATATGTGAAGTGTGAATTTTACAGAAAGGTAAGCATGGTTCATGAATTCATGAACCAGCGAGAGGTGTAACTGGCCTCCTAAAGTACATTGACCTGTGAAATGTTTCCTCTCAATTTGTTAAAACCTGGAGATTTCCCAGAAACCTAACATAGAAGAAAAATGATTTGAAGGAGTCTCTTTTAAATTTGTGATGCCTGAAATGCTGTTTAAGATATTTATACCTGAATCATGAATTTTGTAAAATTTGTACATAAAACAGGATCAGGATTTAGTGTGTAAAAAAAATATAAACACACATACTTACTCCAGACAACTTTGGTCTGTTCTCTATAGATGCGCACTACCCCAATCATCAAATGAGATGACAATCGAAGAGCAAATGGAACCACAGGACTCATAATATCGTGACTAGAGAAAAAAGTAAATAAGTGAATAACATTGAGCAAGAAGGGTTTGGAAATCTACAAAATAATTTCAAATCATCACAAAACTTTTTTTTTTTAATTTTCAGGTTGACCTTAGCAAGGAGATTAATTTTGGGGTGACATTAATGTAGATATAAATTTAGCAAAGTACCAATCAACAGGCCAACACTGTTAGTGGTAAAAAAGGATGGTTTTACAATTCCTGGCAACTAGCACCTGCAGAAGTTCTTCTGTGGTAAATTTTGTCTGTAAGTGAAAGCCCTAGATTGCAAATTAACCCTTTAACCCCTAAGAGTGACTGGCATCTAATTTCTCCTTACAATATCACCCCAGTGTCACAAATTAAGGTTGTGAGAATAAAGGAAAAGATCACCAACTAAACAAGCTCTTGATTAATAAACAAATTCTCCTTGTCTACACTTATGGAAATGTATTGAGAACAGAAAGGAGAATATAAATACTGATAATGGAGTGTAAGGGGTGAATTGTATATACCCATGTCTTAATGTACTACCCACTATGCTGTGATTAGTATGAAAATTACCCAAGACCTGATTCTTATGTTTCATTTGTCTTATGATTGGGAAAATTGTTGTTTAGCATTCATATGTTAAAGAAAGAAGCTCATGGATATAATCAAATTAGTTTTTATTCCAAACAAACTAGTATGAATAACAAGTTTAACTGAACGAGCGGACACTGAGGACGTACCAAGCTCTTGTTATATTGACTCTTCGAAACTCTCGATTAGCCATTCCTTTTTTAGATTCGCCATAAGTAGCAGCCAACCTTTCATGAAAGAAAAGAAAAATTTCATTCTGGAACCGGCTTAGTTTTAATTCAATATTGTTTATTCTTAAAAGCTGCAACTTTGAAACGTTTTCAATACTTCATCAAATAACTATTTTCGTTTCAATGCAAAGACATCGTATTAAAGTAAAAAAAAATAACCTTACCAAATCAATCCAAGTTTTCCTTTACGCGTTAAAATATCAACTGAATAGAACATCGTTTGTCCTGAAGACAAAGTCAAGATAATCGAGAGCGTCAATTGTAGGGTTTCAAGTACTTTCCAAAAGATGTCTGTAAATATTGTTCATATAACAAGACACGACATCTTTTTCATGTCTACATAGGCTTAAATCACTTCAAGCTTTAGCGATGAGGGGTCATTGAAAGCAGTTCAAGTGAGTGTTATTTCAACAAAATGTTAAGCACTTACAGAACAGTTTTATGTGGTATACTTGGACGGCGAGTCAAAGGTAAAGCGGATCAACACAACTCCATTTACTTCGCTTTTGCGATTTTCCATCTCGTTTATACCAGGCTATGGTTTAGTGCTATTCCCCCAAACAAAAAGTTAAAAAAAATCTTGTTTCGGACACCCAAATACTAATAAAATAGACAAAATTTACATTGAAACGACGAGAAATTAAAACGGAACAAGCAATCGCAGAACATGTTCAATCAGATCAGGAAATTATTTAGCATCTTCACCGATAAGACGTAGAAATCGGCACATCTTTGTTGTATTTGACACTGTTGGATACTTACCTCTCTCATCTCAAGCTGTTTTGTGCTAAAAACGATCTCCTGTTTTAACCAAACCCGATTGTTCACAAAGTTATCGTGTTTGATCGGTAATTCGACGCCACGCACTACGAAACTGTGCCGTTCATTCATCTCTAATTCGACCAATCAGAACACTTGATATAATAGCAATCGCACGTACATTTTGCAAAGGAAGTGGATGAACTGTTGCTGCGGAAGAGAGGGAACTTGTCGAAGTAAGAACAAACCCAGCCACAAATACTTGATCCACCTCTCCGTTATCTTTATTTTGTCAGAAGTTAAACAAGTTTCTTCGTTACATTGCTTTTCAGGTCTGTGTCCCGTGTTTTAGTTCACGTTTATAATTTATATAGCTCATTTTAAAATAGTTGATATCTTCAGAAGCTTGACCAAAGCGATTGAAAATTCGAATGGAAACTCGAAAGCGACCGCAAGTAGACAATTGACCAATACAGAGAATCTCATATGTTGAGCCTCGTTACCATGCATGTCGCGCGCAAATTATTCTTTTACCTTACGTCACAAAGGAAAGTTTCCACAGAGAGCAGATTGCAGTGCTTCAGGAAATTGTCTTAGCCTTAAGATAGTTTAAATCAAAAAGGAATATAAGTTTCAACGGGAGGAAGAGCAGGTGAGTACATCCTCCGTAAAGTAATTGTCTTAGCCTTAAGATAGTTTAAATTAAAAAGGAATATAAGTTTCAGCGGCAGGAAGAACAGGTGAGTACCTCCTCCGTAACGTAATTGTTTTTGTTTTGAGCCAGTTTAATATCTATAACACAATTTTAAACACCAATTTTGAGAAAGCCTATTTACGCCACTTTTCCTACAGTTCGCTCAATCTCTCTTTCCAGTTTCGGTAGAGTGTCAGGTTTGTGTCTAACTCGCCTCTTTTTGGTTCCCATCATCTACAATGCGGTGTTTTGCAAGACCTCGCGTGAAAGGAAGTTAAGATATTTGAGAAGCAAAACTAAAACTCTGGATTCTTTTCTTACCTTTGTCAGATTTATGCTTAACGTTAATTAATACAACGCGTCGTCGTAATATCAATTTTTATCTCTGTATTTTTTCTTTCTATACTAATTGTCTCTAGATGTGATCCGACCCATTTCGGTTCGAAAAATTGATTTCCTCCAAATTTTACCCATGAATCTGTCTTAGTCTTAAAGTAGTCGAAACCACCTTAGTTTTTCAAAATTTTGCAAAATAAATTTTTATCCGAGTGAAAATCGCTTCACCCTCAAAGACCCATTTTTGACGGCCCCAATCATCAAAAATGGCACAAACTCTGGTTTGAGAAGTTCTTATTTTTGCATCTCATATTGAGATCAATCCTTTGGGAGAACAAAGAAAATAAGTTGGCTCTTTTAACGTTTGTTTACATTGAAAACGATTTTTCAGTTGGACACCTAATTTGTCGCTGCCGCATGTGACCGTTAAGATGCAACTTTTAATCTCGGCTCAGTTCAAAAGTCCAACTTCATTCAGACTAACTAAAATAAGGTAGAGGAGTACAGAAATATGAAAATTTGTTTTGGTTTCGACCAACTTCTGACACAGCCGGCGAACATATGCACATTTTCGAAAATTCCACTTAACACTGAACGAAAAAGCGGACTTAATCAAATGCATACTTTTCGTCGCCAATTTATGGTTGACCCTTGAATTGAGCTCTACAAAGGTATTATGATCGATGATAAGTAAGTCAAAAGTCAAAAGAAGAAAGGGGGTAAATTTCTAAAGAAACTGTGTTGCTGCTTCAGTGGTAGAGTGTAACAAGGTAATTAGGTATTATCAACGGAGTTGATAACGTGAATTTAAAGAGTTTCAAAGCTGACGTTTCTAGCGCTAGCCCTTCGCTAGAGCAAATGGAGAAATTGTAGGTTATGTAATTGTTTGTTTGCAGAAAATTGAGCCATGGTATTGGTTTGAACATGTTTACGAGAAAAATTAGAATAAATTTGATACCGTGGGGATAAAGAGTGCCGATTTGAAAGATAAAGTTTTGTTCTAGAGTTTTGTGGCTTCCCAAAATGCCTAGACGTAGGAAAAGGCCGCAAACTGCCATATGCTGCTAAAAATGACTAGGGAATTTAAAGTGTTTAGCGACTTGTTTGGATGCGTGATTGTCGGACAGGCATGGATTCTTCTCCCCATGTGCAAATGAATGCACGAGCAATGATAGAACAACGTGAACAAATAAAATAGCGCGGAAACTATAAATCACCTTCACTTTTCCCATCTTTTATTGTTATCAGTTTATTGTTAAATGCTACCCAGAGTTACAATGATTAACATGTTTCCATTTTTTTGGGAAGTGTGTGGCACGGTCGGTTTTGTTGCCAAGCTACCTTATCGCCTATCAAAAGAAAAAGAGAGGAAGGATATTAGCCGGAGCTCGCTTTTAGATATCTGTTAAGAAACACCATTTCACCATTTGCGGTAAATTTTAAAGAGATGTCGAAGGACAATCTCCTTTACAGCCATTCATGATTTGGTTCCGGCATGCTATGTCTTTGAGAAGTTTTCCCTTGGCATCCCTTTGATGGCGGAATAGGAGACAAAAGAACACTAATTATTCTTTAGGAAGGCTGCTTACCCAAAACAAAAGGAACTACTCATAAGTGAGTCCCTTATTAAGAAGGACTTTCACTGGGAAATTTGTGAAGAGTGCACCTCGCTAGTGCTGTATGGTGATGAGTTGAAAAAAGTGTTCACGATGACTCGGCAAGGACTCTAAGTATGGATTTAAGGAAAGTTCTACTTCAAAAGTTTTCCTTCAAGTGTCGTTGTTAAGTTTCTTATACTGGAAGAAAGGGTAAACGAATTACTTCCCACTGAAATGTTATTGCGAAACAGTTTTACTGTAAATAAATACGGCCTATGCTTTTTCTCTTATACGTGTGTTCGCTTTCTCTTTCTCTTAAATGTCTTCATATAGTCCGTATATTTTGAGCGCTTTGTTTAGCCAGAGGCAAGAAGCATTTTTAATACGCATTTGTTGGAAAGTCTCTCATTATTTGACTTTTCCTCGCTTACAGAGTCCTTGAAGGCTTGAAGCAAAATGTGCTCGTTAGGAAGTCAGTAACTTTGATGCCATTAAATAAATTGCATATCATAATGATGGAAGCCTGCCTTACAGAAGCAAAGAGAGGCTGCTCTACAAAGTACTCGAAGCCAGGCAATTAAAAGCTACCACGTTAGCATGAAAATTTGGTCAGTTTGAGGAGCAAACAAACCTTTAATTAACAAGCACCGCAGGAAACAGGGCACTCCCTGAACATCGCTTCGGGGTTTTTATGACATAGTTCGTAATGGACTGCCCACTGCGAACATTGAGTGGGGTTTCTATCCTTGCACTCATGTACTAGAAAATGAATATAGATAAATAATGAAATAAGTAAATAAAAAAAGACAACAGAACATTATTTCGGTCAGTATTCTCTTTCAAATTACTTAGACTTGCCTCACTTGAAATTCAACTAGAGTCCAGGAATACGTAAAAAAAAAAAAAACAACGAAGAGAAGAGATCAGATAAAAAAAGGAAATGAACAGATAGCTAGGTAAAGAGATGAATTTTTAATAAATAAACTACTGGTGATGTAACGATTATCATAATTCCAGTGAACTGAATTTTCTCCCGTATTTGATTTTGACGGACAGGATACTTAAAAAATGAAAGCATTAAATTATATATTATAATAATAATAATAATAATACTAATATAATAATATTAATATAATAATAATAATAATAATGTAATAATAATACTAATAATAAGTAAAATTAGTAATAACGAGGATGATGACAGCATAACGATGATTATAACAAGATGAGATGACCGTCATTCTTACTGTCACAAATGAACCTGTGAGTTCTTCATTTTCCCACTAACAGTTAAAAGTTGAACAATAATAATAATGTAATTATAATACTAATAATAAGTAAAATGAGTAATAACGAGGATGATGACAGCATAACGATGATTATAACAAGATGAGTTGACCGTCATTCTTACTGTCACAAATGAACCTGTGAGTTCTTCATTTTCCCACTAACAGTTAAAAGTTGAACGTTACTACAAGCTTCTCACCGCATAAAAGCAAGCATGCTAAATTATCGCCCGTTTCGTACTTACCGCATATGCCACAGGACTTGGGGCAATGCATCAACGTATAATATGGGTTAGTATGACAATCGCCTCGCCGTTTCAAATCGTCACAATAAGGACGATTGTCTATACATAGACGAGTAGGATTATGGTCGGACATTATTATCCCTACAAACAAACATTATGAACCTTTATTATAAGCCTACCAAAGAACAGTGCACCGAGTTACTCTCAACTACCTTGGGGGAAGTTGAACCACAAAATGAAAATAAAATCACCCACTAGCGGCAGAGGAACAGAGGAGGATGTAAATTATGGTCCAGGGCAGAAAAGGGACATATCGTTAAGGCTGTTTAGCTGAACGTCAATGTGTTTACATAGGCAAGTACATGATTGAGCTCTGCAATATTACCACAAAATAAAAATAAGAGAGGGGACATATCGTTATGGCCGTTTAAGTGAACGTCAGTTGAAAATGTAAAGTGGATAAAAATGAAAATCAATGATTGTTGCTGATCAATTTGTTTGCATTGGCAAGTATACGATTGAGCTCTGCAATATTAATACAAAATAAAAAAAGAGAGGGGACATATCGTCATGGCTGTTTAGGTAAATGTCATTTAAAAACGTATAGTGGATAAAAATGAAAATCTATGATTGCTGATAGTCAATGTGTTTGCATTGGCAAGTACATGATTGAGCTCTGTAACTTTAAAGAATTTTCAAGGTGGAAGCCTGTTGCCATAAGAAAATTTATTTAACCAACAATAGCACCCTCGAAAATACGGTAGTAAAATGACCACAATAAATTGATTTCATCACAGATCTCTGCATGAGATTGATAAATAAAAAGATAAAAGCAAATACTACAATTTCAAACCCTCAAAGGGGCCTTCGTCCGTTCATTAGGAAAGTAGGTGTGTCTTTTTCATTCCTCTGGGGAATCTTGTTTCAAGAGTTAGCAAAATTAAGAATCATACCTGCATCACCTGACAAGATAAAAGAGAAAATAAAATAAAACTAATTTAAAATTATAAGGACTCACAGAAAAATGGAAAGTACGTCAGTTCTAATGATTCTTTTATGTTTGTCCTTGTATTCATGTCTCTTCGTGTATCTTCGTGTATTCGTGTATTCGTGTATCTACGAACGAACGATAGTGCAATGATGACCAAATCTTCTGCCTACATGAGGAACACTTCATACTCAAAATTTTTCGAAGTTCTAACACAAAAGACGCGGATGTTTTCTTCTGATGAGTTTCAAGTCATCTTGAATTAATTTTTCTTTCATTTTTTTTTCATCAAGGGTTTGCGATAAAATAACAGTAATACAATGATGAAAGCTAAGGATATTCAGGAAACTTGATAAATTGTAGAAAAGAAAAAAAACATATGTACAAAAACAGGATTCCTCGGCATAAGCGTTGTGAACAAAGCGTATGTGCAAAACTTCGTTTTCGTGTTTTTCTGCGTGCTTATCTCTCTACTTACAATATTGGATGCTGCAGATGTACATTAGCACAAAAAAGAGTACCCCAAACTTCACAGACATGGCTGGAAAATTACGCTGCATTAAAAGAAAAAAGAAATAAATATCCTTTACAATTCACAATCTTTCGTTGAAACATGCACAACAGGAGTGAGATGAAAAAAGACCCGTCTGAGACAAATATTACCTTGTAGGAGAAACCTTTGGGTTGTCTTCATAGGGGGCTCAAGATGCCTTTTTATCTTCGGTGAGCATATTGCTTTTATAGCGTTAAACATCCATTGCATATGCAACAGGGGCGGAAAAATGAAAGAATCAGAGTGCATTCCACAACCTTTATGCTCATTATAGTCGAGTGCTTTATGCTGTTTATTGAGGCGTTTCACACGAGAGTCCAATATTTCTTACATTTCATTTTAGGGAGATTTCTACCGTGTGAGAAAAAATTTCACATAGATAGCTATTAACTGAAGTAAACTGTAGCACTAAATTTCTTTCCATGTACGTAATATAGCTCTGGACATAAAATTAAAAGAGAGTTTTTTTTAGGTGGAAGTTTAGACACGAAAAAATGTTGGTTGCACGGACGAGCGCCAATGTTTGGGTGGAAGGTTATGCTTTCCTTCAATTACCGAGTCGTTATCAAACAAGTTTGTAATTAGGCTAAATTGAGGTAGTGCGGCAAAGTAGCCTTTTGTTATTGCAAGGCGGGTAACTGATTGAGTTCTCAAAAGAGCCTTCTGATTCGCTAAGAGTTGTGAAAAAGCATAGCCTTCCTTGCTGTTGCTTGAGCATAAAATCAACCTGTCTGTAATTAAGAACTCCTTATTACAAAAGCAACATAAGAGCGTTGGAAAGCCATGCTTTATTTTGCATAGTGATCTTACTCATATTAAAGCAGCGGACAACTTACATTTGCTGAGATAATAACAGAAAGTTCACAACAGAACTTTCATAGCGTAAAACCGGAAACCTTTACAAGTTAGTAGTGCACACACCTGCATTTATTAGCGGTAGCAACTAACTGCTCTCTTAGGCCGATAAAGTTATGGCGATAGGTGATGACCCGATAATTGTCAGTAAGCATAGCTTTCCAACCTAATGACCCGTGCATGTCACCAACCTTCTTCCTATCTTTATTTCCATTCAAAAGACTCTCTCTTAATTTCATTTCTAAAACAAGTGACAAAAACATTCATTGCTACAGTTTATATAAGTTTAGTTTCCTGCTGAAATATTCAGTAACAATTCACCCTTCTCGATGCAGATAACACGTAAAGGGTCGGTATCTTTAGAAATAGGGACCTTCTTGTTTGAGACATTTGAAAAAACATCATGAAGTACTCTGTAAGATATAATGGCCTCTTGAGCAACCTAAATGGGTCGCGGAATGCTGAATATCTTAAAATTGACAAATGGAAAATTACTATGGCACTCAGCCGTTGAACACATGATGATTACAATGATGTGTTTTTGTAGTTAGTAGTGCACACATTTGTATTTATTAGTTTATTATTAGGCTATTTTTAATTTCACAAGTAACTATCTACCTTGCGGTAACAACTGACTGCTCTGTTAGGACAAAATTACGGCGATAAGTGATGACCCGATAATTGTTGGTAGGCATAGCTTTCCAACATAATCACCCGTGCATGTCATCAACCTCTCTCTCTTAATTTCATTTCTACAACAAGAGACAAAAACGTTCATTGCTACAGTTTATATCAGTTGAATTAGTTTCTTACAGAAATCTTCAGTAACAATTCACCCTTCTTGATGTAAATAACGTAAAGGGCCGGTATCTTTAGAAATAGGGAAATAGGGTATGGATCACGCTGAGGAATTTGTTCAAGGTCATGGTCTTGGCAATAAGGAAACATCAGTGTTTTATGTATAAGACTTCACGACGATTTTGAACATCGATTGCTGTTTTTACAAGTAGAAGATTCATACTTTGACGCTTGGATTCGCTCATTAATGTATACAATTTTCGACAAGCAAAAAGCGTTTTTTCTCGATCGGCACAACCGAGACATTATGCAAAATTAATTCAAGTATTTCTATTTTCCCTTGTCTGCTGGTTCTTCTTATCTTTTGTTAATTTACTTCTAATTTTCTTTCTTGTAAGTGGAGCAGGCGTTAGGTTTTCTAAATTTGCTGAATTCACAGAGAAGATTACCAAGATGAACTTCAAACAGATAGTTTCCTAGTTGATGGATGATACCCCCCTCTTAGCATAGAACTATAGCTTTTATCCTTTGGCACTGCTATGTAGGATCAATTCAAAATTTCTCTTATGTCGGAATTTCATAACCTCACTTACAAGGATGTATTTCATAGTTTACTTTAGATGGCAACAAGCTCATCACCAAAACTGGCAGAGTTTGATTCTATCCTTGCTTTGGCCCTCGATATCACAGAGCTAACAACGTCATAGATGTACACCTGAATTTGCTTAAGTGAACCCAAAAACAATTTCTAATATGTTCTCCTTTATGGACCTTTCGTGTTCATCAAATCTTCTTATTGTGATGTTTCCCCCCAAAAGTACTTTCAAGTGCCTCAAACCACTGATTGTTAGTAATTTTCGACAAATAAAGACTAACGTAGAATTACCAATTTTTCTTCCCAAAATACTTTGAAAAACATGGTTGTCATGGGATACAACGTGACCGTTGCTATGGAAACTATGACACATTGATCAATTGTCCCAGAAACTGTGGCGTACGTGGTAAGTATGTAAACTGCTTCA